AAAAATGTATTTTACTTAGGTAATTGGACATACTTCTGCTCTGTCATTTTTGCACTGTCTAGGATTGAAAAACAATCTGAATGTATAGTTTAGATTCTAAATATGCAAACTGATCAAACAGAGTTTTGTAAAATGCCTTAAAAAGATCTTTGACCAAGGTACATGTTTGTATGTCATGAGTGAAACAGGACAATCAACAAGACAAAAAAGTAGGGTGGGACTTTTGTACATCAAGAGTTGATTGGGCCATGAAAAGTGGCAGTTAGATATTAATTTGAAGGTTGATGTTCGGAGGGGATTCATGTTAATAAGATAATATACACTACTGTTCAAAAGTTTGGGGTGCGTCATCGTAGTATGTAATCAAGTAGGTATGTTCTGAACAACTCATGTCTGTCGTACAATCACAAGATCGTTTTTCTGGTGTAAAAAAAACTTTATAAACTAACTATGTTAGTTATGCTAGACGGCCACCGGGACAAGACCACAGGAACCAGTTGAGTCCTCTGCACAATGTGACATTGCTGCAGCCTAACAGCTCATGTATAGTCATTTTTGTCACAAAGTGGTTTACTGCTTATGCATTAGTGAATCAAGCCAGTGACTAGACGATCATCTTCACACTGTTCCTGTTAGCATGCTTTCACTGAGTTAGATAAAAGAATGTGTGAGATTGCAGAAATTGCACTGCAATTATGAGATCCTTGCATCTGGTGTTTTATTATTATTTTATTATAGACATGACTGTGTTCGGCTACAGTGCAGTGCTGCAACCTTTGATGCAATGGAAACAGTTCTAAATATAATGTTATAATAGTTATAGTAAAACGCAGTTAAAGTTTTTGAGGCAATTCCACATGTAATGCTAATTTCATATGCAAAGGTGTTAGTCAATCATAGCAGTGGGCGTTTACAGCAGACAACAGTGTTCAAATCAGAAGGCTAAATTCAGGGTGGAAAATGTTTTGATGTAAAAATAAAAATACTAGGATTATAAACGCACCACAGGAAACATTATAAAATAATTTTAAAAAATGCATTTTCCCTTTAATGTGTCATTGATATAAAAGAAATGTATTCATTAATTTTTAATAAGGATTTCAGGGTAAAAAAAGCTAAAGAGACACTAAACTTTCTCATTCAGGCTCATGTAAAAAAAATTTTGTAAAAGCAGAACTAGTACTGTTGTGCTTACAAAAGGATTATTATATATTTTGCTTTCAAGAGCCTTGACTCCTTAGGGATCCAGTGCAAACTACTGCTAAGGATTAAAATTCAAGAACAGCATGAAGAAACACTGAGCAAATAAAATAAAAAAGAGCCTCTACTGTGATCTGAAAAAGTACTAGGTCAGTCTGAAATCTGATGATCGTTTTCATGGAATTGACTGAGACATCTCAGCAGGCCGGCCTGATATTGAGCCATCAGGCAGAAGCACAGCTGTCAAGGTGAAAATGGGAGGAGGAAACAGTAGGAGACAGAAAAAACATGGCACAAAACCACAGACACAGGTTTTAGTGGGCTGGCTACAGTCCAGGACAACCACATGAAACCCACACAGCTCATGCGACAGGCCACAACAAATGACCTTTAATGCTAATAAGACAGAGATCTGGAAGAACTGGTGAAGTGAAATTGATTAAAAGAGCTCAGAGATCCAGCACAGGGATGATTCGCTTTTGTAGGTCAGATATTAGATGGGTGTGAGCTGATTAACAAGGTGCACATCTGAAAATGAAAAAAAATCAAGTGCACCACGTAGCAACAGCAGAATCTACAAATTAAGGTCACAAGGAAGTCACAAATCTTCAGACAGTCATGCTAACAACAGCCGCCCTAAACCAGTTTCACAGCGTTTTGGACTATAATAAAGGTTTAATTAGAGAGAGAGCACAGAGCAGTGCAATAGAATAGATCTACTGAAAGCCTTTAAAATCTCACTACTGATTACTGAATCACTAAACAAATCAGACTGACATTTGTTTGCGAGCCATTCTCTCTCTTCACTAGACTTCTCTTAAGGAAAGACACTCATGGGAACAAACGCTCCAGAGCATTAGGCTGCGTTTACACTGCAAGTCTTAATGCAGAGATCCGATCTTTTGACCATATCCGATTTTTTGGCACGTCTGTTTACATTCACTTTAGACACGACTGGTATCCGATATCTTTGTTTACATTAATTCCCACCCAAAAGGATTGTCTGCAGTGATCGCTTTATGCACATGGTAGACCCTCGGGTTTTAGGCCATTCACTATGCAGCAATTAGGCTACACTATGCAAACAACCAACTAGTTTTTCAGTAAACAGTCCAGTCGGTAAGGTAAAATACAACCTTACAAATTAAAAACAGTTAATAGTTTAATTTGAATGAAAACAGCACCAAAGTTTTACTATGTTTTTGTTGTAAAAACCTTGGAATCCTATACACTACTGTTCAAATGTTTGGGTTTGGTACAATTTTTTTATGCTTTTGAAAGGAAAAGTCTGTTATACTCACCAAGGCTGCATTTATTTAATCAAAAATACAGTAAAAAAAGTAACATTATGAAGTATTATTACAATTAAAGATAACTGTTTTTTATTTTAATATATTTAAAAATTTAATTTTCTCATGTGAAGGCAAAGCTGAATTTTCATCAGCCATTACTCACTTAACATTGTTGTGGAAACCGTGATTTTTTTTTTTTTTCAGGATTCACTGATGAATAGAAGTTTCAAAAGAAAAGCATTTATTTGAAATAGACATCTTTTTTGTAACATTACAAATGTCTTTACTGTCACTTTTGATCATTTTAATGCATCTTTATTCTTTAATAAATAAAAATTTTAATTTCTTAAAAACAATCTTACACTTTAAACTTTTGAGCGTTAGTGTAAATACCACAGTTTATGAAATAATCAGAAATCATTCTGCATCATGATCTATTCAAAACATCCATGAAACAAATATACTTCACAAAATATCTTAGATATTAGATAAACTCAGCCAATTTTATTTGATAAATTATGTTTGGTATCATAATCTGAATTCAAATAGTTCATTAAGGACTACAGACTGTCCTTTCGGTCTTGCACATGCAGTGAGGGACAGTCTGGAGGAGCAGCTTGGAATCTGTCCACATCACAAAACCAACAGCCTGGCACCTGCAGCAGGTGCTTTACAGAGGATGCTATGAGGACTGCAGAGGGACATTCGAAATGTACTGCTTAGTTTATTTAAGAGATATTTCACTAAAAATGTAACATTTTCTTAATATTAATAACGTTTTTCCCCATTCATCAATAGTTTTTAGTGATCACAACCCCAAAAAGGACAAAACAGACCATTAAATGATCACAATAGTAGTCTCATGCATTAAATACCAAGTCTTCTAAAGCTGGATGAAGTTTGTATGGCAAAGTGCTGCATAAAGACTCTTCAAAATTCTTCAAAAAAGATCTATGACACAATTAGAATGGTGAGTTAGAGACAAAGTGTCTTCCCTTATCTCTGTATAGCACGGGCCATACTCATTTGCGCTCATGCTAGTCCACAGTCCTGATAAGCAGGGTTATTGAGATTGTGAGCACACTCAATTGAACTGAAGCATAGCTTAATTAAAGCTCGCTGCTCCCAAGAGATCCAGGATTCCCTGACATCTATCTATCTCCACATGCCAACCTACAGGAACACACCAACTCTCTCTCTCACTCTACATATAAAAATATATACTTCTCTATAGGGAAGTTAAAATGTTAATGTCTCAGCAATAGGAAACACACAGATTACACATTTTTAAAACTAAGGAAAATTAAAACAGAGAGAATTTAAAGAGTAATGAAAGTAAAATGAGCTAAGGCATTCACTGTGCCTGTTTTTGTACCAGGGTGATACGAGGAAGAACGTTTCATTGGATTTCTATTGAAAATGACACGCTGATCTCAAACAGCAGTATACAGATCTGTTAAGGCTTTGACTGGAAAACCACAGGTTAAAACATACTGTGTATTACAATAACAAACACTGTGTCAATGTATGTACGACAAACAGATTTCAGCGAAAAGACTGTGAGGGGTCTCTTTTGAGTCCTGTGTTGATGAAACAACAGGTTAGTGTTGTTTGTTTGTCGTGTGGACAGTGTGTAGTCTGAGTGTGCTAAACCGCACACCTGCGAGCACATGGAGTTCGCATCCTCAGCACTGCGACCTTCCCATGAGCAGGTGACCGAGGACAATGTCATTTGTGTCATGCCGGAAGTTGTGTCATATATAATCGAAACTACCCAAAAAATCCATCACTTTACACTATGTCTTTGATATGTAGGCGTCATATGAGAAGCGTTAATCTATTGAGAAATACGGGCATTTTATACATATATATATATATATATATATAAAGGTTTAAATTAAGAAACAGGTTGCTATCACAAATCAAAGTTAGACCGACGTAAATAATTTAGCAACATAAATTCAGATACACTTCAACAGCAACAGCAACACATTCTTTCACTGAAACTGCTTGAAGACAGACAAATCATATTCAAAAGACTGAATGTAGGATGCCGCTGGCCCTCTTTATCTATATGAGAAGAACCATCTATGAAAACTATGAAACATCTGCAGCGACGAATGGACTAAAAATGCACTGAATTAAAAACCATCACATCTAATGAGGTACAAAGTTTGTTTTTTTGGCTACAATATCCAACATCTTCAGTGTCGGGTGTGTGAAATAAGGGGGGAAAAATCTATCGATTTATCGATCTTTAATAAATCACAATGCGCGTGTTTTTCCTTCTCGGTCTTATTCAGCGGCTGTTGTGATGGAAATCGATGTTATTGTGGCTCCTGGCAGTTTAGAAACATGGAGCCATTTTAAAATGAATTGCATTGGTCGCTGTAGAGAAAATAACCAACACTATCACTCTAAATTATGTCACATAATTCCCGTCGGTTTCATTCATATTCCTAGAACAAATCGTACGAGTTTAGTTCTAAAAGGAGACATTTAACTCACCTACCAGTCTGAGGTACAATATTTGGATCTGAGCAAGGAAAATCCTCCACAAAGATGTTGAAGTGAACGGAGGCTGGTGGAAGCAAAAGAAGGGCTCGCAGTCTCTGCCAGCCGTGTTTTGATGTCACTCTGTGGGCGGGGTCTTCTGGGCTACCCACATTACACTCAGTGCGTTCGGAAGACCCCCTCATAAGCCATTTATCGCCCTCGTGAGGTTATCTATGATATCAAGTCAAGACTTACGACAGTTACGTCTTTTTCTTTGGTTCCGCAATGTTTTTTTTTCTTCTAAATATATATTTTTTCCTGCAGTTTAAGTTCCTGTCACCAAGATAAATCCCTTGTGTGTTTAAACGTAGCCTACTTGACAATAAAGCTCATTCTGATTCTAAATAAAATCACATAGTACACCAGGTATACACATACTGTATACATACAACGTGCTTTAATTGTAACTGTATCCATTTTGAATAGCCGGTCAACATGTTAAACAAGCCAGTCTTCATCATAATGCAGTATGAAGGGGGAATACTGTCCAGTCACACAGTTTTGGTAAGACATAATAAGGTACGCACATAATGACAGAATTTTAATATATTCATTAAATGCTCATTAAGATGATAGCCAATATGCATATATTTAATATTTCATTGAGTAATTAGATTTGCAGTACTGAAATGCATTCGGAATGAAAAAATGTTGTATTTCCAAGCTCTGGAATAAAGTTTTTGCTTTTAGACATACAGTAATGTGGTTCAGTCTTTGTTATACTAAAGATTTTATGGCTAATCCATAAGGAAGTGGTGACATTGATTACATTAGCTGCATGAAGGTTAAATGAATAGTAAACTACAGAGGATTACAGTAATTATATTCAGTTGTCTTAAAAATAAATATGCAATATAAAAAAAAAACACATTTGAACTTTATGAGATACTTTAAATACAATGTAAAACAGAAACAATTGTTTCATTGTGTACATTTTACTTCACACCCAACCTGTTAAATAGATGTTAAAGGTTACTAGCCTTTTAAAGAGCACAGGATGGATCCTTTTTGACTATTCAAGTAGGCTTTTAGCTTAAACATAACTTTGAATAACTAAATTTCTCTGCAAAGAAAAAAATGTGTTGAGTTGACATGCTTTATGACTAAGTATAAAAAATATTAGAAATCAGTGCATGCTGTGCATTGTTAAATGACAAAGACAAGTCTTGTAAACCTTTTAGCAAAGATACTTGTAATGTATTTTGTTGTATGTTTCCTTTTGGTGAAACAGAAAGGATGAAAATTAGATCACATTTGTTGTAAAATGATAAGTGAGGTGATAAAGTTTTGCAACATTCTCTTGATTCCACATTTACAATCAGAATCACAGACTCTGTAACAAACAGCATGTTCAGTTTCACATGTTCTCAGTCTATTCTTTAGGCTCTTTGGTCCGTGACCCGGTTTAGGAATGTATCAATCTGAGGTAGTCTTGTGATGATAGTGAAACATGCCTTGGCGCCCTCATGTGGCACAAGTCAGAGCGATCTGCTGCACCTTTCCCATTTCATTCAGCAGCTGTTTGATGCTGTGCTTGAGTTCAGGCAGACGGTCCAGTGGGTCTGGAGGCTCCAACTCACCCGTGCAGTCCAGCCAGTTTTCAAGCACTGAAAAAGGAATCAATATAAAGTTACAGCATACATGAATCATTCTCATAATACAAATCACCAAATAAAAAACAGCAAAACATAAATCCAGCCCTCTGAAACCTTCTGGCACACCATCAAGCTCCCTTTCGATGAAGTCCATCCTTTGAGTAACCTCTTCTTGTACAGTCTCGATATGCTCCAGCAGGCTGATCTTCCACAGCTGCTGCTGAGCTCCACCCTTAACCCCACCTCCATCAGCACCCACCTCACACTTCTCTCCTACATCCTACAATGGAATAAAGTAACATTCAGGGTCACACAACATAAAACAGTTAGTCTACTTCATACTGCATAACCGTTCAAAAGTTCAGGGTTGGTAAGATTTTTGCTTGTAAGATTTTTGGAAAGTGTTATGCTCACCAAGGCTGCATTTATTTAATCGAAAATACAGTAAAGACCGTAATATTGTGAAATATTATTACAATTTAAAATAAATGTCTAATATGTTTTAAAATGGAATTTATTCCTGTGATGGCAGAGCTGAATTTTCAGCATTATTACTCCAGTGTCACATGATCCTTCAAAAATCATTCTAACATGCCGATTTGGTGCTCAAGAAATATATCTTATTACTGTTAATGTTGAAAACAGTTTTGCTGCTAACTATTGTGGAAACCATGATACATTTTTTTTTTTTAATGTTCAAAAGTTTGTACACATTAAAAGTCAGCTGTAAATCATTAAAGGAATAGTTTACCTCAAAATAAAATCTCAATGACGATTGGTCATTTCGCTGTGACATCAAAACTGCTCTGTCTAAATGGGCCATATTTTAATTGATGCAGCTTTTTACATTTCAGTCTGGTCATCACACAAAACTCTAGATTTTAAATATAAATTGACTATTTTTATGATACTTTTATTGTGCTTTTTTTCATCATTTTGGAGCTTAACAACAACACATATCCCCATTCTCTTTCATTATGTGGAAAAAATGGCACATTCTTCAACATATATATTTAAATTAGTTTTAGATATACAATTCCTTTAAAAATGTCAGCTCACTTTAGAACCAGAACTTTTGATTTGACCATGATAATTGTTGGCCACCCCTGTATTACATGACTATCACTGACTATAGGTCCTGGAGAGCCACAGTCCTGAAGAGTTTTGCTCCAACCTTGATAAAAACTCACCTGCCTGTCGCTTTCTAGTAACCCTTAGACCTTAACTGGCTTGTTCAGGTGTGTTTGATTAGGGTTGGAGCTGAACTCTGGAGGACTGTGGCTCTCCAGGATCAACACTGGCCACCCCTGATGTAATATTAACCTCATTTGATGTGGCCCTCACCATACTGTGGTTGAACAGCGAAGTACTAGATGTCTTCAGTAGTGCTGGTTGGATCTCTCCATTATAGTGTTGGTCATTCTTCAGCATTGTCTCAGTGTTGTGCAATCGGTCTTCCAGCACCGACTCTACCCGTGTCTTCAGCACCAGCCTCGGCTCCAATACCTGGTACAGTGTTTGTGGCTTTTGGTAGCAATGCTCACTGCTAATGTAGTCCTGAAAGGGTGAAGTCAAGGGCTCTTTACATTGAATCGCATCCAAGGATGTTGATGCAGAAACTGTTTTTGTGTCTGGAAGAGCCATGGTTTTCATCCTGGATTTCTCAGTCAGCTTCCATGGCTGACGCCACAACTTGAGGTCTCGATGACTTTGGCTCCTGCAGTAAATTGGTATAACACCGTTTTCATGATGCTTTTCAAACAACATTTGTGTTATGGGTTCAAACAGAGATAAAGCTGGATCACTCACTGTAGCACACTAATTTTGAGCTGCAGGCCATTGAGGACTTCCACCACATGCTGAACGTCCCCTAACAGCTGATGAGTGGCTGCAATCTTCTTGCCGTTCTTATGGGAGTAGTTCTCCAGGAAAGAGAGGCCATACATATGGCCGGTGCTAAGCCAGTCCCTGTCATACCAGTACCGTAGACGCTGTCTCTGACCTCTGATCTGCCCTGGATACACAGAAACAAACACACTTGTAAGCTGAAATTAAACTAAAAATAGCAGAATATGCCATAATATAGATTTCCCAGCATAAGAAATGGGAATTGACAAAAAGCTGAGTCAAACTACTCAAACTGCCACTCATCCTAACTAGGTCTACATTTAAGGATCCTTCCAGAAAACAACACTTCCAAACCTGGGGAATCCCGGCAAATGAAGCAAGCGTATCGTTCTGGAACATTCTCTTCCAGAAGGCCCATACAGGTTCCATGCTGCCAGTACAGGCACTCTTCACACTGAGGTGCAAGAGAAAAAACAATAAACATGATGGTTGTTAATTAATAGTGAATGTTTTACAACTAAATCTTCTACTGACATATAAATTACTGTTCTAAAGTTTTGGTTGGGTAAGATTTTTCAATTTTTTCCAAAGTCTCTTGTGTTCACCAATTTAAAATATATTTAAAATGTAATTTATTCCTGTGATTGCAAAGCTGAATTTTCAGCAGCCATTACTCCAGTCTTCAGTGTCACATGATCCTTTTAATCATACTAATATTCTGATTTGGTGTTCAAGAAACATTTCCTGTTATTGTCAACATTGTGTTGCTTAATATTTTTTTTGTGGAATCCATGATACATTTTTTTTTTCAGGATTCTTTGATTTTGAATGGTCACCTGTAACATGAAGTCATTTTCCTCTTCCACTTCACACACACAACGGACAGTTTTCTGACTTCCTGTAGTCGAGGCAACAGAGCTACAGCTGAGAGGTGAGGCAATGACGTCCAAATCCGCCCCCATTTCATCTTCACTCCATCCACAGCTGTCAGAGGACCAATCAAAAATGCTATCCTCATCTGGAAACAAATGACAAAACATGACTTGAGTTATGAGGGGGAAAAATCAGACAATTAGATATTAAAATGACACTGACTCATAAACTTAAGATCATATCAAATTGCAAAAATATATAAACTCAACAAAAACATTTAGACGGAGATGGATACTTCAATTAATTACATTCAATTTATATTTATAATTTACTATTACAAATAGATTTCAGAGATGTAGTTACAGTGGTTGTGCAAAGAAATAAAGATTCATCATCACTCAGAAAACATGCTGATTTTCTTCACCTGATGTGGTTTTTCTCATTTTTTTCTTTTCCTTTAACTTAATTCGCAGGAAGTCTCTAGTCTGTTTCTCTTTTAGCCTGTCACGCTCCTTCACACCTTCTACAAAGGAAAGAAACCTAAGCTCAGTTAGGCCATGTCATGTATTAAAGGAAAAACAAAGAATAACACTGTAAATCCCACATGCTTTCTGTGGCATACTATATAAAGTTGATCCATCAGCCATACCCATTTCCATAAACCTCCTCTCTCTTTCCTTGTTGAAGTATCTATGCATGTTGCGGTCTAGCTGATTCTCTCTGGTCTTGTCCTTCAGTGATGGCCACCGTTGGTAATTCTGTGCAC